TATAAGTAGGGGGGGGTATGGAAAAATACTACACAACTAAATGTTCATGATACAAAGTTACGGGCTGAAGGTACTACTTCGAAGTACACAACTCGCCAGCACACAACCATAGTTCATGATCCCCGGGTATTCACACAGACTTGCCAGTCTTGTGCATAGTGTAGACCGGGAACACTACAAGTAAACAGTTATAATGCCGATAACACGAAATCACACTGTCGTGAACTGACATTCGTTGAACTGACCAACTGGAAATGTCTCCAACGGTTTATGTCTTTCGCCTAACTGACCCCATGCTGCAGTGGACACTGGCGGACATCGCCGCGAAATAGGTTTGGGACATGTAAAGCCCGTATAGTGAATGTGATAAAGCATGACAAAAACACGCACTTGTATCTAGCGGAGTTATTCCTACTGATGTGGACCTTTCTTTGGTTGTTTGTGTACATTGTATGTCGCACATTAAACGGCAACTACTGAACTTCCAATAGCATAAAGGCGAACTAGGTCCTATAACATAAGGGCGGAAATGGAGGGAAAGAAGCAAAGGAGGAAGGGAAATACATAGCTGGCAGGAAGAGAGAATTATCACAAAGTATAGCCCAGGCTCCAGAAATGCTCAGGAACGGATATAAACTGGTTACATTACGCTCAGGGGCACACTACCTGCTGAAAAAGTAGCCTTTTACCATTTGTGGCATCATGTAGCCTTTTAGAGACAAGATTATCATCGATACTGGGTTCATTCTGGTTGGTTTTCTCCATTCATTTTTTCTTCTTCTCATGCCTCCCCTCTTCTCGTGCTCCGGTGGCATGCTGTCCCTAAGACAACTATTCCGTGGAGTTCGCCCAGACTCACCAACACCACTACTATGTAGTACCCACATTCCCATTGTTCTCTATTCTACTTATCACATTCTTTCGTGCCGTGGGACATACCTTTTGCACATTTGAGCTCCGTCACTTACCCCTCCTAGCTCTTAGCACAACACTGAACCTTCCAAGCAGGAAATATGTTGGTTTGGGCATTGCATGTTAGTTACAGCTACGTGTGAGGTGTGTGGTACTTGAAGTTTTCAAACATTTTGAAATGCGAAAACGTTTTTAAAGAATAGCAAATCAAACACAGGCAAGCGAGGTCGGCCAGCGAACGCAACGGTGATGGTGATGAAGTCAACGTAGAAATCACACCCAACTGTGATAATGCTTTTGTGCAGCAAATGTTTAAATTAAACTAAGATTAGATCTTCAAGAAACCTGTGGAAGACAACATTAACACAATATTGGTTTTCTGAATAGAAAACATCAGATCAAAATGAAATACATACACTGATCTAGATGTTGGAATGTTCATGACTTGGGTAGCATATGCGAGTGAGAATCGCACGTGGCACAACGGCTAAATGGACTTGGTTCTCGTCTACTAGATATCATCGGGTCGATTGGATCACACCATAGATATTCCCAATGAGTATTGATACAAATGCATAACGTGCTGGCAGAATCACCGCTTTTATAGAACAGTATGTCTGGATTATACAATCTTCCAACAGGCCACGTTGATTTCCACCCAAAATTCGGGTGGTCTGGAGATGCTATCCTGAAGAAACGGTCAGCTGGCAGGAATGCTTGAAAATAGGACAACGTGTTGAGAAGGTATTTGATGGCAAGTAAAACCACTGGTATGCAGACTTGACAGCAGTCGATTTTGATTTCAAACATGTTCCACCTCCACTTTCGTGCTGGATTTGCAAAGTCTACCAAACTCCCTATTCCTAAAATAAAAATAAGGCATAGATTTCGCTGCTGTAAATTAAATTCCAAAGATCTTGTCTTGTGAGGACAGCGAAAATCTAATTTAATACCAAATTTATTTCGTAGATAATACGCGTCCTCAGTCATTAGCTGAGAACCTTCTAGCGTGTACTGCATGTATGTGCATGTTGCTAAATTTACACGTCGCAGGCAATACAGCATGGATGTTTGGTACATGTGACTGGGTGTGATATCCGTCATTGACCTCCCGCGAATGTTAAGATGATAGGACGGAGAGAGTTTCTCACAACCATCAACATTGCTTCCGAAAGTCTTCTGCAAGAGAAGTATCTCCAAGGTAACCGTTGCCATGCATTCTAGAGGACAATTTTTTATTGCTAACTTTAGACTGTGTACATGATCATGCGTCAATGCACGCAGTACACTTCTGAACATCACATTAAACGGAACATCTGTCTGGATATCTCTACACTTGAACGTAATTTGAACGAAAAGATCAGGTAGTTGAAAAGGCGTCCCTAATGGTGTACACGGAGGGAAACAAATTTCCCAATCTACAGTTTGGCGTGTTTTCTGGTAATGGTTACTAACCTGACAAGGACTGTAAATTAGCGTCAGCTTCCTGTCCATGTCTTATACTGGCGGAATGGAATAGATCGGCTGGACGTCGGGTATGGGACACCAGACAACTTTTGTTGATTCTAATCCTCAGTGTTCGTTCTGGCGCGGGATTGGCAGCCAACGAACGTGTTCTAACTGGACGTCTTCGCTTAATCCTGGTAAACACTAACTGAACGCTGTTCTCGCTGACACACAGGTATTTCTATGTGTCAAAACCCTGACACTCTACATCTGTGGTCCTGTCCACAGCGCTAATCAACTCCGCCTTTGGCGATCTCTGACGCTTGATAGTTGGGATGGGCGTATTGCCTTTTGATTGTTTTGATGATTACTCAAAAAAACGATATTTGCAAAGTCTACTACTGATGTGGACGGCGAAATCTGATCCAAAGTGAATATTTGACGCCTTGGGAGTGGTACGAATGCGTCTGGATGTAGACATGTACAGGTGAAGGGATGCAATCATGACTGGCCCAGAGCGCTAGTTTTGCACCTTTGGCCGTATTTCAGTTAACATTACTGTAGTTTGCGCTATTGAGCTGTGCAAGCGTTTAGCAGCTTACCAGGTCACCAAATATCTCAGGTAGCCGTGTTCGGTTTTCTGATCAACAACTGTACGTTTCTACAGTCAAATCTTTGGCCAAAGAGTCAAATTGTCACGTATGGCCAGAGCATCGCTGTTTCCATTATTCTTCCAAAGTTCTGTACACCGGAAATTTGCTTTCAACTTACATGTATTGTAGAATGTAGATATCCAGTTCTATCTCAGTTACTTCAAACAGTACAAACATGAGTGCTGGTTTAAGTTCCAGGTTTCAAATATTTGTTCCCCCGAGCCAGCCCGGACACTGGGTTTGATGTACAAGGGATAATTCTTGCAATTTCGCTATTGAGCAATGCGATCCAAAGACCAGACATTAACCGTCACACCCATGCCTTGGATTTGGAGGAGTATACTAGTATGTTTGTACTCCTCCTGCTACTGTCAGTGCGTCTTCGCTAGCACATGATCACTACTGTACCTTCCTGCACTCCACGACAGCCACACATTTACAGTACATGGACATGTACATGTCCTGCACCTGGTAACTACCTACACTACACAACTACTGTTCATGATACTAAGTGACGGGCTGAAGGTGCTACTTCGAAGTACACAACTCGCCAGTCCACAACCATACTTCCCCTTCCCCTTCTTCGCCATCACACCCTGGAACAACCTGCCTGCGGACCTCCTGCTTCACGAACCTCATCCAAGACGCCTCCAAACCTTCAAGGTCAACGTATGTAAGGATCTAATCCGAAAGAGATGGCTGTGGTCCACACAGTACCTGTGACGTTGATATTGAGACCCATTTAGTATTTACCTCTCTACTAGTACTTGCTTGTTATGATTACTGTTCTCTTTCTTCTTTTTCCCTTCTGGTTTAGTCACTACACGTATTTATATGATTTGGTGCAATACTAGCGCCCCTTTCTCGCACCAAATCATTATTTTTGCTACCTGACCATGCAACCCCCCTTTTTTCGATGCCAAGTTGCAACACTAACGCCGAGACCCCTGGTCGGCCGAGTTGCTCCCTGTACATCGGCACGTCGTCCCTACATCCCCTGTGTCTTGTCTTGTGTTTGTCTCCACATGTCTATTTGTAGGGCTGTGTTCCCAATAAATAAAATAAAATAATAGTTCATGATACCCGGGTA